TATTATAGATGGGCCTTATTTGTTAGGCGGTATCCTTTCATTGACCAGCCTATATCCTCTTTGCAAATATGAACTGAGTCAAAGTTTTCATTATTTGGTTTAGTATCACGGTCCACTACCTGTTGATTCATATATCGTTTGTATTGCTAAAATGTATTTATATTTATATCGTAGGTATATCAATCTTATTTATTTTGTTCCCCTTCTTGTTTTGTGTTCATCTGTCGGTTTCTTCGAATGTATTTTGAAGCGTAGTTGTTGTATGGATGATCTGATAAGTAAATGTAAGATATTTAGACACTTTAAAAGAAATACATGGTTATGGACTTGGGCATGTACACGCCCAAATTATAAAATCTCATTTCTTACTTCTGCGATATCGACTATAGTACACTGTATGTTCCAAGTGAGTTAAGAAAAAACTGCTTTCCAGTTAAGCGTTTTTTAGACGGAATTTAAGTCTAAATCCATTTTCATTAAAGTTTCTTATGAAATGATTAAATGAATAAAATTTTGGTCAGCATTTGGTTTTGTGTATGATTTAAAGTATATTTGTTGAGGTAATTAGTGCTGACATAAACCTTTGAAACATTGGAATGTTTCCGTGCGCATGCGCGTACGTGTGAAAAACGCTTGACTGGAATAGAAAATCTGTGTGATCACCTGATCCCATGAAATCACATGATATCGTGTGAAATCGTCTGAAATCACATGAAAGATGATTCAACTTACTTTGGATGCGTATTATCAAAGACAAGCATCAGAATTCCTGAAGACGTCATTTTAATCTGCTTTTTGGCACATCGTTCGTGTGAATTTATTTGACACAAAGGAATTAAAGTCTAAAAGAAAAGAAAACACCTGTCATTTCTTCATGGCATACAATTAATCTAAAAACCTAGACAAAAAGGACTCTGCTTGTTGCAAACTATAGTACAATTTAAAGATCAAAATACTAAGCAAACTATTTCTTATACACCTTGTCCGACAGTGCAAATTTACTATTTTCTATGCCTTTGTGCAAACCAGTGATCTTTGTATACCTAGCATATACTGTATACATCTTCCATACTACGAAGGATGTCGTATGATTACATAAGATTTAAGATTTCTATAGCACAATCTTTAAAAATGTGCTTTACATCAAGTATTACACTTATCTAATTCTAATTACACACTATTTCACCTTCAAACCCACCCTGTCAATTTTCCCTGTGGGAGGGAACCGGAGCAAAGCACGACATGCCTGCACGACTTTCGGCAGAGCGTTGACTGTCTCTTAAAGTTTCACACGAGTGGGAAACGAGAGAATCGAACCCACGACCTCATAGATGAAAGGCACTACCTATATGTACCAATTAAATATTTAGCAGTTATTGATTTACTGGTTTTACGATCTTTACCAACTGTTTGGTGCAGCAATTAGCGCTTATTCATATTCAACTTCACAATCAGTTGTTTAC